AAAAGGAATTGTCGCGTTAACGTAATTGGAATCGGACCTGACCTTTAATCTATAACAGCCACTCACGCTGCACCGGTCGCATCTTGCGTTAAAGTGAAAAATCCTTTTTAATATAACTACCTCTAAGACTCAGTTAAGAAGTGTTTTTGATTGGAAACTTTCAATATCAAGGGTTTCCGGCATATGCTCGGCCAACCGGATCCTAAATCTATAAACGCGTCCCAAAATAGTTTTAAAATCAGTTTCTAATAATACCCAACTTTCCTAATTAATTAATAAAGTGCTTTCACTATTTTTACCAATTAAAAACTAACCAACTCTTATCTAAAGTGTCGGATGACTTTCGATCTTATCCGACATAGTCACAGTTATTACGTAAACAGAAACATTGTTCCATTCACATAATGGTCGATCAATTTAAGTTCAGAAAAGTTGCATTAAAATCCGAAACAGCCCCTAAAGTATTTCTACAAATACAACATATGGAGTACCGTCAAAACAACGGTCTTCACATCCCAACACAACAGAATTAGCTAGACATGACGATGGTAAATGTAGCGGTAAAAATCGTGAGCGTAAGCTATTGATTAGCTTAACTCAAAAGAACAAGAGTCGCCACCGCACTTTTATTTTATCCAAATCAAGGAAAGGAAAAAGAGTGAACAAAACCAAAGAGTTCTAAAACAAGAACAAGAAACAGAGATCGGGGTAAGGGGGTTGGTTACGCAATGGGAAGGTGTTAGCACCCAAAACGTCTATAGTACTCTATAGGAGCCCTTTGAAATATTTACGTTTTTTGGTTTGAAATTGGTTTGTTTGAAAAGAGATTGGGGAGATGAGAAGAGAATTATTTTTTTAGATTTTTGTGTTTGGAGAGACTTATCTCATGCCTACGTACCCACAAAGTGCAATATAGGATCAAAACCCCGTAGTTCGTGGTACAAATGACAAAAATTTGTTGGTTTTGATTGATTTTAGATGTAAAGACAAGTCGTCATTTTAAGGAGAAAACTGCGACTATTCACCCACGAGTATTAAGACAACATCTGCATCACATAAAAATGGAGGATTTGCTTGGATTATCAACAAGACTATCACTCAACATCAACGTGGAAAATGTCAAAGTCTTAATAATATGGGGAATAGGAGAATTACATCTCAACTATAAAAATGAATCATGTCTAAACTTTATGAAAAGTTTTAAAGTGAAAAAGTGCATAAAGGCACAAAAAGAGTTGATGAGTTTTTGTATTTTTTATGTCTTTTGAAATTGGTCAAAGCATGATTAACATTGATTAACTTTTATTAAGAAGAACACAAGTTTAAAAATCACTTGACAAAAGTCAAGGTTTTATTGAGAAAGCGGTTTTGAAGTTTGAAACCAAGAAGGTTTTGAAAGAGGGAGAAAGTTTTGAAAATTTAAGAAGGGGAGGAGATGAAGTGACTATCCTAGAAACCAAAATAAAAGCTAGAGGTAAGAAAGATTTAACCGACTTGTAGCACACTCCATAGCAAGCAAAAAGAATTCCATCCAATTTAAAGCATAAGCTAATGAGCGAGCCAAATAAAGGCTAAGATCCACAATACTCCAAGCATAGGAATGAGAGTCCTAATTCTAAGTCCAAAGGTCCATGAAGTCCAAGGTCTAAGAGTAGTCTAAGAGCATAACCACAAAGTTAACAACACCAAGTTTTTTAGAGATTTTTATCCTTTATTAGTGTTTTGAACAAGGTATGGTCCAAGTGGACAAAAGAGAAATGACATAAACATAAACAAAGATATGATATGAAATGATAAAATGGAAGCATAAAAGTAAGAAATAAGGAGTAAGAAGAGAATATAAACAAAATTAAACAAGGATATTGTTAGTGAATTAGTAATTAGTGGTTAGAACATATGATCAATGATGATTAGTTCTTGCACTTTAGACCAAGGTTAATGAAAACTCATTAGAGGATTGATAGAATCAAAGCCTCCTAACAATGATTTTCATAGGTATTGGACTTAAAACAAGCAACTAATCACACTTGGACTTTCAAACATAAGTTTGAGCCACGAATGATCATTTTTCGATTAAGGGACACTTTAGCGCTATGTTAAGCAATCGTAATCGGGTTTATGTAGAAACCACGACTATCTGAGGCCGGTCAATAATAATGTTAGTGTTAACACATGTTAGAGAAGTGATATGTAAATCACTCTCCTAAAACATGCCACACAAAAAGAAAAGAGGTAGTGATCTCATCATAATCAAGATTTTTCATCAATTAATCAAAGGTAATCTATCACTATTCCAAAGTACGGAGAATTATCTCAATGATTATTCGTCCATAGATTTGAAATAATGAAGATTAAACAACCTTGATAATCAACAATCTATGATCCATAGATTTCATCGATCAAAAATAAAAAGAAGAAGAAAGAGAATTAAAATGAAAAGAAACCTCAATTTGAATCTTAAATTGATTAAATTATCATCAATATCAATCACCTCTTTTAGTGGATAAAATCAACACTCAAAGTCCATTGATATTGATGAGATCTTATCAAAATTCAAAATCCAAAACAAAACAACAACTAATCCAAATTAATATATATATATTCTTTAAATCAATTTTTAAGAGTTCTTTTTTTAAAATGGAATTAAAATACAAATTAGTAAAAAATTGTGGGAAGGCCCACACGGCCCAAGTCTTTAAGAAAAAGAATAAAAAATAAAAATAAAAAAAAAAATAATAAAAACAAGTGAAAGAAAAAAGAAGGAAATAGAAATCAGAAAAAACACATCATCTTCTTCTTGCGTCTGGTACTATTCACCGCCATGGATATCACTTCGAAGCTCTCTCAAATCGGAGCGGCGGGACACGAAAAATACGCGGTTGCAATCGAAATCAAGAGCTCTTCACAACAGTACCAACAGTTCAAAGAAACACAACAAAAAGTAACGGATCGAAACTGACGGTGAAACTCAATCTACCTTCTAATTCAGGTGAACGGTGAAACAGAAACTCTCTTCTTCTTCTTCTTCTTTGAATCTGACCGAATTTGAACTAGTGTTGTGTGATGTTGAAATGTATTGCGGAAAGATTATGAGATGTGGTTGTTATTGTTTGGAGCTGTTGTGAATTGATGGAGTTGTTGTGTGTAATTTATTTTTTGAAGAATTTTGGAAGATATATGAACAAGAGTGATGAAGAATGGTGAATTTGGAATTGATGGAAGTAGTTCGGTTGAAGGTTGAAGATGAGTATTGGCAAGTTTTCAGCAGGGATTTTCTGGCTTTTCAAGCTTGAAGAAATTGAAGGGAAGAAGCTCATATTTATAGTGAAAATGAGGTGAGTCTTCTGAAAAATGATTTGTCGTTTGTGTATTTTCACTGCGTTTTGGTATGATGATGTGCGTGACCCATGTGCACTTTTTTTTCACGTCGTTTTGCTTTTCTATTTCAGCTTACGTGTGTAGTCACTTTTTGCAATTGGCTCAACTTTAAAAGCTTGTGGGGTCAGCTTGGAGTGTAACAGCTGGAATTATATTAACATGGCTTAGAAATATGGCTTAATATGAAGCTTCTCATGGGTACGTTTTGACTTGCTTGAATAAGTATCTCCAGTTGTAATATTACCCTGTTTTTTTCAAATGATTTGGAAACTGCATTTGTATGCAGAAACTGAAAGGCGAGTTCCTGAATTACGCGCGAGAGCATCCCGATCAGAATATCCGTGTTCAAGCTCCTCTCATGAGAGTCTCTCTGTATTTCCTCAATACAGAAAGTATTATTTTGCAAACCATCAAGAAGATACCCTCATATCCTGTGATGCCTAAGCCATCAATCATGTTCTGTGTTAGCCTGAAAGATACAAGCTCGGGTTTCTCCAATTGCAAACCTTTGTCCAATAAGCAAATTGATATTCTCCACCAGTCTCCGATGATTTGGAAAGAATGATCAGTGTTTTTAGCGCCTCTGATGTGGAAACAGATTCATTGACAGAAGAGTCCAACAAGGAAACTAATGCAAGAACAGTGCCGGCACGATTCACACAATCTGCAACAGCATTATCAACTTTCTGAGAATGTAAGAGGCGAGTGATAGCTGCTGCAACACGTGTACGTTGGCATTTGAATCTGCAGAAAGCTTGCATAAGGCGTCAAAGATCTGGTGCGAACCTCTAAACCTGTTGTTCATGCTGCGGGAAAGTGTACGAGTGCATCAAAACAACAGCCAAACAACTAATTCTTTTCTCCAGCAAACTTTTCAGTACAGGCTTCAACACTTGGATCATTGCTGTCGCCTTTGATAGTGGATTTGGCAGGGTAACTGGTAGACTCCCCATAAGACTCAAACCCAGGTGCAAGCACAAATGAAATACGTCCATTGTATTGCCTCAAATTGAATAATCTACAGAGAGCGTAAAAATCTAAACGAGCACTTCCCAGCCACCGATATTTTCCCGACTCGATGCCAATATCAGCAATTAGACCCCATGCAAGCATTAGTATATTGAAAAATCTAGTTTCTCCTTGTGTGATGGTAGCCATATCAAGCTATCGCTTATGGCCTCGTATAATAGCAAGAACGACATTGGCTATTGCACAAGGATCGCCAACTGAATCAAGCAGAGATTTTGCCATGCCATTTCCCGTACCTGCAGGAACTACTCCAAGAGGCATCTTTATTGCTGTCAAAATGAGAAGATTTTGTAAATTGAAGTTCCCACTGAATGCAGAATTCTGAAGCACAATCTTCTCAAGAAGTTCACTCAATTCATGAGGCAGATCAGCTGTCATGAAAGCCTTAGCAGCTGCAGAAACCTGTTCAGGACTTGAGCTTTCAAGCAGAGCAGTAGATACAACCTGATCAATAAACGTAACAGCTTTATTGTATTTGGAACCGTAAGTGATAGCATCGGTGTGGCGTTGGTTGAAATTGATCTCCTTGCTTACTGGATTTCTTGCGCGAAAAGGTTCGAGACAACTGCTTTTGTAATCCCGTCGAACCTTTCTTAGCAAAAATCTCTTGCTTGTTTCCATCTATCGCGAGCTTGTACCGTTTCTCTTACGTGTTTTGCCGCAGCTTCTCTCGATTTATCCTTCCTTCTTTCTCTAGTAGCTAGAACTTGATCATAACAGTTGTAAATGAAGATCAGAGTAGTACTCATACCAACAATAATCAAAGCGCCGTAAGCATGCATGTTTTGCATTGCTGTATTTAGATTGCAGTTACTCAACTTGGAGCATCGATTTTGCTGAGTTGAACCCATCCTGCAGTAATATCCTTTATCGCAAGAAACTTTGCGCGTCGGAGACGGACAATATGATCCCAGAGAACAAAAGATATTACTATTGTTCACAACACCATACCAAATATCAGCACTACCACAAGTATGGTTTGTGTCTCCAGCAGGAATTTGATAACTATATGGATCGCATACTCCAGTTGTTTCATTCAGTTTTGCAAGTGGACAATAAGAACCAAGTGGACATGTTATCATGCAAGTTAATCCTTGAGGACAGAAAAACCCTTCACAACATGGTTGACAGTCATTGGTTCTAGAAGGAATATCCTTTGTATCCGTTTTAAGATCAATTTTCTGATCAGCACTACAACTCCAACCAGGCTCACAACCAGAAACCCATGAAGTCAAGTTGCAATTTTGGTTCGGTTTTACGTAACTCGCAGACGTGCCTCCTTCTAGGAAAAAACTCTGAAAGTAGTTTCTTATTTCAGCAGTGGTACAAATTCTATCAGTAAAAATCACCTTTTTGCTTAACACAAGCCTCCACAAAATCCAATTTCTCCTTAAAATTAAAGGCTTCTTCCCAATCTTTATTCCTTTATCTAGAGATAGAACCTGTGGTAGTAGTAGCAAACTTGTGATGATAAAAATGGACAAGAATAAAATGTGATTCATTTTCATTGCAACATATCGCGAAGATGTTGCTTGTTCATGAAGCAATGCATAATGTGGCATGAATTGTGAACATGGTGATGAAGAGATTAGAAACAAGAGATTGTAGGAATGGAGAAATTGAAGTGACAGATTTTGATTTTGTTGATTGGTGTGTTTTGGTCCTATTCGCTTCTCTCAAGTAATGACCATGATCTACCTCCTGCTTTCTAGACGTCTGGTGCAACAATAAACTAAATCATGCACATTGGATAGCCCACAAATTCTGCCAACAATGAATTACCTATACTGTGCCAACCATTGTTTACACATATCAAGCACAGGAAGTGCATTTGCATGCAGTGCCTGATGAGCAACATATTGAACATCAGCCACACTTCCACTTCGCGAAACAATTTGAAATGCACTTTTTAAACGGACACAAACTACACAAGCAAGAACTTCAACAGAAGACGAGGCGTATCCTTCCTGATTTGCTTGTGGACTCCAAAGCTCTTGCTGAAGATTTCTATCAACCCAGTCTTGATTTGTCACTCTTCTAATTCAGATAGCTGCTGAACACGAACCATATTTGAAAGACCTTGAATAATAACTATGCCTTGAAAATGATCTTGAAAACTTGTATGATGCATGTCCTATCTTGAAAACTTGAGTGACATTTGAAAATTGGACTTTGAATTGTGACAATCATCTTGTCTTGTTAAACTCTTGACAACCTTCAATCATGCTTTAGAATCACTTGGAAATGGCACACTTGAATGAGCACTTTGGACTTGTATCCTAAAACAAACATCTTGATTGAACATCCACCAAACCTGACGTATACAGACAAAACTCTGAATCTTTGATTAAAACTGGGACAAACTTTTCATAAAACACTGCTTGACAAACTGATGATTCTCCATAAGACCACTTGACCTTGAACAATCATCTCTTAAGAAAATAGACCACTGATACATTTACTTGCAAATGAAGTAATCTCTTGATAGTTCGACCAAGATGAGGTCAAACTTCCATCTAATTTAGGCTTAAATGAATATCCTTGACATCAATCTCCTTGCAAAATCCTAAACACACAGAGAAGAAGAAGAAACAAGCAAATTGAAAAATATTTTTGGTATTTTGGTTAGAGGTTAGTAAACAGAAACAAACATAAAGCAAGTATGAAACAACAAGGGACCTAAGAAAAATCAAAAAGTCTTGTTTGTGGAATGATATGCAAATGAAATATGGGATCTTAGGGGTAAAAATTAGGGTATTACAGTAAACATAGTAAAGAATTTGTTTGTAGAATAAATCATTTAGGGAAATAAATACGTGCGTGATTGGTTTTCAAAAGTAAGAACGAAAGTGTCACGCTTAAGTTCAGTTTAGAAAATGAATCTTTTGAAATGAAGCGATATGTAAATTGTGCGGAGAATTAAACAATTTAAAGCAAGGCGGAAGGCAATGCGAATAATAATAAAAGTGTGAATAGAATTAAAAAACCTGCTCCAAATCGGAGACTTGAATCTGGTACAGTGTTGGAAAGTAAAGCTGACTTGGAAAGCAAAATGACGGCAAGATTAAACTCCTATGCTACGGTTCTCCAACCTCGATTACAACAATGGCGTGATAACCCCTCGATATGACAGATTACCGCTTTTAACAACTAGATTTATGCCTATGCTGAGAACTAAGATTGGATCCCCAAAACTATGAAACTAAGGTGCTATTTATAGGGTAATTTGCCTTGGGCCGCAAGTAGGAGCTTCAAAAAACGTGTGAGATAATTCCTCTGGTCATGGGGTGGTTTCTCCAACTGCCTTTGATCGTGACCATGAATACATAGGTGGCGCCCGCCAAGTGTGTTAATGGGGGTAGACTTGGTATTGTGACTGTTGAGACGTGGGTGAAACCCTACACCTCATGGCGTCCTCCTCGGCCAACGCCAAGTGGAGCGTCATGTGTGTATTTTCACCTAAAATCACCGATTCTTGCTCTTTTTGTGACGTTTCTTTGTTGGAGGCTCCGTTAAGGAAATATACCTGAAAACAACATAAAACACAAACATAATACAAGAAAATAGCAAATAAATGATAATAAACATGTGCAATCCGAGCCAAATACGCAGTGTGTTTCAGTGTTATCAGATTCTCTCATACTTAAACCTTTGCTTGTACTCAAGCAAACTCTTATGAGCACAAAAGAAAAGCAGCAACACACAAGTATTACATCTGGGCTATAGACTTTATTTGGATCGATGATACATAGATAGGTACAAACTTGTGAACCAAGGATATTGTAATAACACTTTCTGTGGATTGCGGTCATAAGTTTCTCTCTTATATGAACAAATCCATACCATAATATTATACTTAGGCCTATTTTAGTCATCCTCTCTTACCCCTTTTTCATTCAAGTGCAATCATATTAAGGTTGTTATCTTGCACTTGCATGGTGAACAAACCTGTTGGTGATCCAGATCACAAATTGTATCAAAATTCGATACGTTTTGCATTTTAACCATAACTAAACTTAGTTTTTTGTGTGTGCAGGATCGTACCTATTTGCATCGGTTTGTCCATTTAACAGTGACTAAGATGGTGCTGACTGCTAAAATAAACTACTAGAGGGTTAATTTAAGGGTGAGATTTCAAGGTCACTGTATAATAAATCTCTGGATAGGTTCCTATAATTTGAGAAACTCACGGTGTTAAAACGATATTGATTTTTCAAAAGTTTTCCCAAGTCTCTGCAAATGATTCTAACTTATCTGAGAGCCCAAATTTTCAATAATATAAGCTGAATTCTTTATTCGAAATTTTTTTGTTATGGCTCAAAAAATGGGAAAATAGACAAACTACACAAATGACTTGTCAAGCACATGTAATTATTTAAAACAAAAAGAACTAGAAATTAAAACTAAACTAGGAAGCGGTAAAACTAAAAACAGTAAATATCCTCTCCCACACTTAAACCAAACATTGTCCTCAATGTTTCGATAAAAAGTGAAAAAGAGATAGGTAGAACCTGGATATCACAGCTGCTGGCTACTAATACCCTCTCCTCCCTGCTCTGGATGTCGAGAACGACAACTTCTATTATAGTGTCGTGTACCCTGTGAAAGCTCAAGCCACTAAATCCTCGCTGCTAGTGAGTCATTAGCCTATTAGAGCTCACGAAGTTTTCCTAGTATGGAACCTTGAGTGGCTTCTACCATCCTATAATGGTTGTTAAAACGAGCTTGCTGGCATTGCTGTAGAGAGGCGACGACAAGTTGAGACTCCATCATAGAACACATGGATCGCTTAGTCTTCCATTGTGACTCACGCATGAAGTTTATCATGTTCTGTTGCTGCTCATACATGGCATAGAACAGGCTATCACGTTTTTCTTTGTGAGCTTGCTGTTGTCTTCACATTTCCTCTGTAATATAGAATCCAGAAGGTGCACCTGCAGAAGGGTTAGTAAACGGTGGAGTGTGTGCATGTGATACCTATGGGGAAGGAATATTATGAACGGGGGATTGGTTCATCTGGTCATATTCGTCATCGGTCTCGTTACTTTCATCTTCCGGGATGTTTGGTGGTAATGGACCGAGAATAGGATTAGCTTGTAAATCATAAGTTCAGTTTCTTTCGTGCTGCATATCGGTACGATGGGAACAAGGTAAAGCAACACTTGGTATAGCTACATTTCGAACCATGAGGGTGTATCCTCCTTTCTTCCTCACCTTGCACAATTGCATATCTCTCAAGAATTTTAAGTTTATGGTGCAAGGTGGGAGTGGTTCTAATGTGCCTACCTTAGTGTCAAGTTGGAAGGCACGTGCAATGGAGGTAATCAATCCTCCAAATGACATTGTTCCTCTCTTCTTCACAACAACACACACATGTGCTAACATAAAAGGTACGGGGTTCAATCTTCTGTGATAGAGGGCATCCTGTAGAAAAATGAATTTTTTTGAATTTAATTTGTTAGAGTTCTCTCTGGAAAATATGGTATCGGCCAGCAAATGGAAGAAAATACGTATGGTCGGGTTATGTATATCAGAGGCCAAGTTTCCCTCAAAGGAACTAATGGCATGACCAATCTGGACTCTCCACAGTTGGAAAGTCTCTATTTTCTATTCAGTGTCGAAAGGTGCCTCACAAATGGCACCCTCCCCAAATGGGAATTCTAACAGACCTGCAAGAGCGTCAGTGGTGTACTCATATTCCATATTAAACATCCTAAACTTCACCATACCGACAGTGCTAGCAGTGTTAGCTCTAAACAGTGTAAATTAACGAACTTAAAAATTCTCGGGTCAGCCTCTCATAAGTTGGTTCTCTATAAATAAAATTATCATGCAATTGTAAATTATCTAACAGGTAGACTATGATAAAATGGGTACCTAGACTATACAGACAGTTTTCATCGATATACCTCGTCGTGAAAATTTCGCGTGTCTGCAAGTCTTTAAATTTCTGCCTTTGCCTATCCTCATCTCTTTCTTCGCGAAAAATTATTTTTCCTTGCTCCCTTGCTGCCATTGTTGGTGGTTGCTTGGTGGAAAATGAGCATTTTAGTGAAATTTGTGAATTGAGAATTTTTGTGGAATATGGATGAAAGGTTGGATTTTTATAGATGAAAAGTGAGTGAGATAGTGGGAAATGGTAGTTGAATGAGGTTTAGTGGGTTTTCAATATGGTCAACAATGGAGGAAATGGGATTTTTTGAAGGTTGAAGATGAAGAGAATAGAGAAAATGCGGTTTTTCTGTAATCTGTCCTGTAAAAGGCTCCAAACCCCTTGGCGCCCGCCTAGGGGTAAATGGCGTCTGCCATCTTTGTATTTGGGATGGCACGGGATTTGGGCCTTGGCTGGGTTTGGATCCTCGTTTGGGGGTGTATGTAGCGTCTTCTGAGATATTGGTGCATGCAAGAGACATAGATAATATTTTTACACGATATAAATGATAAAAATGTGCATTAAACATGAATAATGATAATAATAAAGACCCTGAAAATTTAAAAATTAACTGATAAATTTGAATATGCGGAAATAAAACTACTACTAATAGTAATATGTCTGAGGTGA